GTATATATATATATATATATATATATATATATATATATATATATATAGTGAATGCGAACACTTAAAAATACCATCGTGATATTTATTTCATTAGAATCGAAGAGTAAGAGTCCGTCTGAAGAGTTGGGATCGAATCTTCGATTCTAATGAAATAAATATCACGATGGTGTTTTAAGTGTTCGTTTTCATTCTTATAATTATTATTTGCTCTGTTTTTGACATTGAGCTCTCTGGATTTATACCCTTTTCAAATTTCCACAGATATTATATATATATATATATATATATATATATATATATATATATATATGAATGTATTGCATGTGTGTTCCGTATTTTTAGTGGACACACATATTTGAGTTGCTATCCATTTTCTCTTTCATTTTCTTAAAAAGTGAAATTAATTACAATCGGCTTAGACTGAGAAAAAGATTTGATCCTCTTACAGGAATCGAACTTGTAACCCCTTTTTTCCATCAGGAAAATCGATCCTATGGAAAAGGGATACAGTTTCGGGGGAAGAGGTTTTTTTTTGTTCTTATCTGGTGTTATTAATTTCACTGTTTAATAAAATAAAAAAAATCAAGGTTAACAACTCAAACACGTGTACCCAATAAAATAATATTTATATTAATAAGAAAAGAAATAATATCAGATTAAAAATTCACATATATATATATATATATATATATATATATTATGAAATGGCCAAAGTCCGACAATTATTTTAAGAACGTATAAACATAAAAAAATGTCTTAATATATATATATATATCAGTGTTTGCAGGCTGTTAATGTAGATGTGGTGGGGGCGCATCAGAGACTGATCAGCTCTGATGGAGTCGACTTAGTGAGGGTAGTATGATGTTTGAAAGACCCGAAACTGCCCAATGACCCAATTCAGAACATCACTGACGACGCCTCTCTAGCGCTAAAGAGCGTATATTCAAAATATATATATATATATATATATATATATATATATATATATATATATATATACTTAAACGCTATTTTTAGTTGATTCCCATATTTGAGTAGACGCTCTATTTTTTTTAGTAAACAATATATCTATTAATTTTCATCTACCAGCCTGATTATTAGAAAAATATGTGGTGTCTGGCAGGATTCGAACCTGCATTGCCCTAGGGGAAACCGTCATTAGATCTGACGTCCTTTGATCTCTCGGCTACAGAGAACCTGCTGGTCCAGCAAAGTCCGAAAGGTACACAGATTTTTTCCGATTCTCGAAACATACATCTCTGCTCAGTTTCGTATCTTAACGTAAACAAAGACAATTTTATATTTTATTGCATAAATGCTATTTTTAGTGGATACCCATCTTTGAGTAGACGCTCTGATTAATTATTTATTAAACAGTATATTTATTTATTTTCATCTACCGGCCTGAATATTCGAAAAATCTTATTAGAAAAATATGCGCTCTCCGGCAGATCCAATGACGGTTTCCCCTCGGGGAAGCCAGGTTCGAATCCTGCCGGGGAGAGCATATCTTTTCTAATAAGATTTCTATATATAAACAAACTCTTATTGTGGTGAAATTGAGTGTACACACGAAAAATTGTAAAAAGAAACATTCTAAATTTGTGAATAGGGATGGCCCAATTTTGCTGCACGACAACGCAGGGCCGAACTCATCTCAATCAAATGTCCAAAAGCCGCATAACCTGAATTATGAAATTTTCTCTCATCCTCCATATTTACCTGATCTCTCTCCTACTGATTATCACTTATTTAAGCATTATGAGCTTTTCATACACAATAAAACATTTTCCAATCAGGAAGAGGTAATTGAATCATTTGTACTGTTTATCACATCAAAGGATGAGATTTTTTTTAAAGATGGGATCAAGAATTTAGAGGTACGTTGGAGAACAGTTATTCATCAGGATGGTGCCTATTTCAACTAAATAAATTAGTTTTTTAACATTTTAGGAGCGTTTTTTTATTCATCTTACTTATTATAAAAGGAGATTGTGTGTGTGTGTCTGTACGTTTATATATTGGATCGGATTTCCTACATTTTTCAACCGATTTCAACAAAACTTCACAGGACTACGTAAAATTACCTTGCGGTGGTTATGACAGTGCCAAAAATTGAAAAAACACAATTGTTTTTGCATTAAAACAATTTGAAAACACGATAAAACACGATTCTATCGCCAGATTGAAAGGGGGACAACTCATATAGAGTTATACTTATTATAAAACCCAGGTTGTTCGTTTATATATGGGATCGGATTTCCTACATTTTTCAACCGATTTCAAAACTTCACTTTTTTTTGGCAGGTAGTGTTTCTTATTGTCTTGCACACTTTTTTCTTTATTTTTCAGAATGCTTAAAAATTCCATTTACAAGACAATTGTTTATAATAAAATTCTATTCAATCGGTAGACTCATAACGATTGAAAACAATGTTTTTGTTTGAGTTTGGGTGTGACCAATTCGTAAAAAAAAAAAAACTAATTAAGACATACGTGTCCGTCAACCTTAAACAATAATCTTTGTCAATTTTATTTTTCAGTCTTCATGATGGTCGATACTTGATCTATCTCTTACTGTTACATCTGCGGGCAACGCCGGTCTCATTGAAGTCAACATTCAGAGGCGACAGGCAGTTTCATGCTGGACGGAATCGTCAGGCGGCCAATCAGGTGAAGCACTTGAACTTTTATTAAATATTATAGCTCGCGTTATCTGTTGAGAATTTTCTGGCAAAAGTTCAGCTGGCCTGAAAAATACGTTAAATTCTAGTAATTCTCATCTATTTTCTTAATTCTATTATACACTAGCAGTAGAGCCCGGCGTTGCCCGGGGATATAATAGTAAGAGATAGATCAAGTATCGACCATCATAAAGACTGAAAAACAAAATTGACAAAGATTATTGTTTAAGGTTGACGGACACGTATGTCTTAATTATTATTATTATTTTTTTTTTTTTACGAATTGGTCAAACCCAAACTCAAACAAAAACATTGTTTTCAATCGTTATGAGTCTACCGATTGAATAGAATTTTATTATAAGCAATTGTCTTGTAAATGGAATTTTTAAAGCATTCTGAATGTAAAAATAAAGATAAAAGTGTGCAAAAATAAAGCCAAAAAAAAAGTGAAGTTTTGTTGAAATCGGTTGTAAAATTTGAAAATCCCATATATAAACGAATACACATACACACACACAAAAAAAAAAAGTATAACTCGAATGAGTTGTTTTCATTCTGAAATCGTGTTTTCAAATTGATTTCGTGGAAAAACAATCACAACCACTGCAGGTAAATAGTCCTGTGAAGTTTTGTTGAAATCGGTTGTAAAATATATAAACGATATATAAACGAATACACATACACACACACACACACAAACAACCTGGGTTTTATAATAAGTATAACTCGATATGAGTTGTCCCCCTTTCATTCTCGTGATGCCTCTTAATCGTGTTTTCAAATTGATTTCGTGGAAAAACAATTGTGTTTTTCCAATTTTTGGCGCTGTCACAACCACTGCAAGGTAATTTTACGTAGTCCTGTGAAGTTTTGTTGAAATCGGTTGAAAAATGTAGGAAATCCGATCCAGTATATAAATAAACACACACACACACACACACACACGCGCGCGCACACACCCACACCCAAACACACAAACAATCTGCGTTTTATAATAAGTAAGATATTTAAACACATGGAAACCTACCAAAATCCATCCGCAACATATTTATAGAAAACGAATGATTATATAGGGATTTATGAAGCTTCAACTAGTCTGGCACAAGGCAATATCCGGTGTGGATCGTATTTATGATTTTTTTATTTCCCAAAATTCTCATTCACTGATCTTTGTCAGTCATTGTAAAAGGCTTAATATGTTTGTTCAATATATAGTATTTTTTATTTGAATAAGTTTAAATATATTGGTTACAAAACTCTTTTCTTTAATTGCTAAGATCATATCAATTGTATAACTTCACCTCAAAGAAGACAGCCATTCATGATATGATTGAAACGCTATAGTGAATGGAAAGAATGTAAGATAATTGATATGTATTTTTTCTTTGTGAAAGAGTTAATATGAAAAAAAACTGGACACGATAAAAGCAAGCTAAACTTTGAATACATAACATAATACCAGCCTATACCTGACATCTGTCTTGCGCCAGATGACAATGTATGATTGAACACTGTCAAGGTTGACTATAGTGGTAACAGCTTTATTGTTGCAGACAAAGCTTATAAAGTACTTACGGAAGAATGGTTCACCCATATGCTTACTTAGACATTCTCTTTTCTGTCACCGGGCAGAGTATGCGATTTTCACCAAGATTTCTGGCAAATAAAAAAGGCACAGGGAGAAGAGGATTCATGACTTTTCTCAGTGAATTTCTACGAGATTCAAATTAGTTTCGCTGAATTCGTCCATGAAAACCCGGCTCAATCGTTTGAGATGCCATAAATTACAAAGCTAGGTTTCTCTCAGTGTTTGTGAATTAAAAATAATAATAATAATAATAATAATAATAATAATAATAATTATTATTATTATTAAACATCAGCATATACATCATTTTTGCAAAAGGAAAAAGGCGATTTGCTGTTCCAGGAAAATACGCAGTATTGTCAACAGACCTGTTCCCTACTACTTACAAATGGGACATAATGTTACACCATGTGACTCATTCTGTTATATATATATATATATATATATATATTAGGCAGCATATATTTTATATTATAAAGAGATAAACATAATATAATATATTGTCTGTTAGCGAAGAGAATTCGCCATTAATTGCATTAATATTGCTAATTGATTCAATGTATGATTATCTCTTTATAAATATATATATATATATATATATATATATATATATATATATATATATATATATATATATATGGAGATAGATAGATAGATAGATAGATAGATAGATAGATAGATAGATAGATAGATAGATAAAACTGAGAATGATGATGAAACAAAACTGAGATAGATAATGGAAAAGAAACTAAGATAATGAAAAAAGATAGATATATAGATAATGAAAAAGAAACTGCGAAAGATTATGAAAAAGATCGACAGATAGATAAATAGATAAGGAAAAATGAGATATAATGAAAAAGATAGATGATAAAATACGGAGAAAGGTAATGAGAAAAGATTAAGATATATAATGAAAAAGAAACCGAGAAAGATACTGGAAAAATGTAGATAGATATATAATAAAAATTGAGAAAGATAATGAAGAAGATTTAGATAGATAGATAGATAGATAGATAGATAGATAGAATGAAAAAGAAACTGAGAAAAATAATAAAAATAGATAGATAGATAGATAGATAGATGAGAATGAAAAGAAACTAATAAAAAAATAATAAGATAGATAGATAGATAGATAGATAGAATGAAAAAAGAAACTGAGAAAAATAATAAAAATAGATAGATAGATAGATAGATAGATAGAATGAAAAAGAAACTGAGAAAAATAATAAAAATAGATAGATAGATAGATAGAATGAAAAAGAAACTGAGAAAAATAATAAAAATAGATAGATAGATAGAATGAAAAAGAAACTGAGAAAAATAATAAAAATAGATAGATAGATAGATAGATAGATAGAATGAAAAAGAAACTGAGAAAAATAATAAAAATAGATAGATAGATAGAATAAATAGAAATAGAGAAAATAATAAAAATAGATAAAGATAGATAGATAAAATAAAAAAAAGATGAGAAAAAATAATAAAAATAGATAGATAGATAGATAGATAGATAGATAGAATGAAAAAGAAACTGAGAAAAATAATAAAAATAGATAGATAGATAGATAGATAGATAGAATGAAAAAGAAACTGAGAAAAATAATAAAAATAGATAGATAGATAGATAGATAGGTAGGGATCAAATTCAGATTAATATAATGTTTTCTTACGTGTGTTTATAAATGATAAAAGGCTTATCAGTAATCCTTCGAAGTATTTTCGGCGTAAAGGATTATGTGTTATTTTTTTCAATTAGGGTGTAATTTGTCAAATCAAATCTATGGCCAATTTTGTTCTTGTGTATTACGAGCTAGTATAAAAGGTTGTACAACCGTAGATCCTTTTTATTCTCGTAGATACGGGCTCCTAGATTTCGAGATGTTTCGCCAATATAAGAATTTTAACATTGCAAGTAATGTTTTGATAAATACCGGCATCTAACTTGGTGCTGGATTTAATTTTCTTCCTAGATAATGAAAAGCCTGCGACTTATACTTTTCTATAAATACTTTCATGCTAATTTTTCTAATGGGATCTTGGATATGGTGCCTAAACTTTTTAAATTTAAGCACGGTACTTGACTGGAGACGTGGTTTCATCAATTTACGGTTGAGTTTGTCAGATGCAACCCTTAATTCTATGTCAACAGTTTCTTTTCTCGCACTTCTCGCATGAGGAGCTCCATGCTTTCCAGCTAACTTTGATCTTCAAAAATTTAAATGCAATATCAATCGCTATCTATTGTCCCCCTGATCACTCTTCTTTTGATCTCGCTCCTTGGTAATGTTTCTGTTGTATTATTCTTTCACACCCAGTTACCCCTTGTGTCAGTGGCTTGACTACCTTGCGGAGGGGTGGGGAATTCGATTTTTAAAATAAAGCAAAGATAGGTCAACATCGCCACCCGCGTGGACCACCTTGCGTAGGCGATGTTGAAGGATGGTAGCCTCGATACTGAGGAGAGACGTCCAAGAAAGGACTTCGTTGTTGTTGATATAGGAAAGAAAATGCAAATAGATTCCGCGAACAGTTCTGTAAAAAGAAAAAAAAATAGATTCAGTTGTTAGAAACTACGATTCATTATTGTTGTGCATAAAAATCAAAGTATTTCAAAATATTTTTTTGTTGTTGGGCTCAAATGTTTTAATAGTTACTAATAGTAATATAATAAAAATAATATACAAACTAATTCCATATTTGTTTACATCAGGAGACACCAACCTCTTTTGCGTCTTCACCCACTTTCACAAGGAAAAATTTGTCACTGTTCACCTGTATCGTACATATTCAAAAACATACCACAGTTATTTGGTAAATGTCTGTTACTTGTTCGTAAACTGTCTTTATGATGTAGTAAAAAAAAAAAGACAAAAGGGAGATAACAAATAACACTGACTGCTACTACTACTGTATTAAAGAACAAACAAAAGCAAACTTGACCATTGAAAACTATGTATAAAATTTAGTTTTATGGTCAAGTTTAGTTTTAGGGTTATGATAGACAAAATAGTAAACGATAATTATAAAATTAAAAATAATGTATCATACAAGCGCCTAATAAAAATTCAGCGAATATTTTTTGTTGTTTTTAGTCTTCCTTATTTGATTTATATCTGCAAAAATGTTATATCGTCTGTAGAAATATTTGAATATTAATTACCCTTCTCAAAACTATAGAAAATACACAAATAATCGTCGTTTGCAGAGATATTTCTATCTTATCTAGAAATGTGGCCATTTTGTTATCTTTGTTTTTTTATACATATGTTCGTTGAATAACTCATTTGAATATTTTTTTCCGGTAGCATATGTTAAAATACATTTTTTATACTTAAAATCATATATCGCACATCAAAATTTCCAGTCACAAACCATTTTCTGTTCAGTTGCTTATCGCCCACCCAACAGCTGAATTCGTCCAGAGATCTGTCTGTCTGTCTGTTTAAGCCATAACTGCTGAGCAGAGGAAATTAATTCAAATTTTTCTCAAGGATAATCGTGCAAAATGAGTGTAAAGAACACAGTCAGAATTCAAACACTGATCAGATTAGTCGAGATTATATATATATATATATATATATATATATATATATATAGATAGATAGATAGATAGAGAGAGAGAGAGAGAGACTGAAGATTGAAGATTGTATTTAAGCATGAAACAAACTGTCACAGGTCGACGTTGATTTAATGTCCACTTTTATATTTACATAAGCTCTATTGATAGAGCACTTTTATACATAAATATAGCATACCTCAAAACTATATTTTTATCATATGTGAAAAGTGTGTGTATATAAATATAAATATATATATATATATATATATATATATATATATATATATATATATATATATATATATATAATTATTTATATATTATATGCGCGGTACTTATTAGAAAGCGCTCAATATCAGAGATAGACCTAACATATTTGGTTGGATTGATGTGAGCGTGAAACCCAGGGTCACAAACTCACATCAATCCAACCAAATATAATCATATATATATATATATATATATATATATATATATATATACATACATATATACTCAGACACACACATATATATATATATATATATATATATATATATATATATATATATACAGACATACACACACACACGTGCGTATATATATAATAAATAAATATACTTTTTAATGAATGAACTGGACGTCTAATCAAATACGGGCATCCAACTAAAAATAACGATGAAGTAATAAAATCCGTCGGATTAATAAACAGAAATCCATCACTTCTTTAGAAACTGCCTTGTTAATGTTTGGATACGAAATTCAGAATATATGAATGTTTCGAGAGTCTGGGAAAGATTTGCATTCATAAAGCATTATTGACTTTGTTTCGTGGCTGAGTCGGTCTAGAGCCCGTCGGATCTAACGACCGGTTTCCCTTATCCAGGGGACACAGTTTCGAATCCTGTTGCAGTGCGCATATTTTAGTTTAATAAGACTTCTCTAGCATTCAGGACAGTATAAATAAATACGTTACTTAATAACGGAAGGCCTATTCAAATATGAGTATCCACTAAATAAGTAATATATATATATATATATATATATATTACTTTGACGTTATATATATATATATATATATATATATATATTACTTTGACGTTATATATATATATATATATATATATATATATATATATATATATATATATATATAAAAAAAACAGACCACTTTAAGGCTCCATTGTAATAATTTATTTCACCAGAGACCTTTTAAAGGACGCTGGATCCTCATACATCACTTCCAAAAAGTTGAAACGAAAAATGAAATGAAAATTTACACTTTTGACGGGTAGTATTAAGTTTATTTAATTTAACAGAGAGGGTAGCGAGGAGTGGTGTGAGAGACATGGTCGAGTTTAGAGAGGGTTTATTTTAATATTTCTTTCTATCATACTTAGTATTAAGGAAGGAGGGACCAGACATTGACCTATTTAATCGGTTAACTTAACGGAAATAATATTTCGTAACTTAAATATATATATATATATATATATATATATATATATATATATATATATATATATATATATATATGCTCACACACACAGGGTGTCCATAAAGTTCGTGTGCACATTAAAAAATTTATAACTTTATTTGTATTTGCGATAGAAATAATTTGTAAAAAAGATTAGAAAAGAGGTAAATGTATATTCTTTTAAGGTTTTATTGAAATTTTATTTAAGTTTCCACATGTCCTCCATGATTAGCAATATAAAGGGTAATACGATTTACAGTAATGCCTGAAATCACATTAGTTATTTTAACTATACTTAAAACTAGGCACATTGAACTTTATACAGATTACAAAGTTATAACATTTTAAAGTGCACACGAACTTTATGGACACCCTGTATATATATATATATATATATATATATATATATATATATATATATATATATATATATACCATTAATACAAATATCAAATTTGTCACTTAGCTGATTGATGTTATATTTAAGATCTCAATCCTAGAGTTTCGTAGACGAACATATTTGGATTCGTTCGGTCCACTCGTCACGAGGCAATTGACTGTTACTTTTCTCATTTTCATTATTTTTACAACGTTAAAAAATAATCTATGCATTTCTTTTTCTTCTTTGTGTATGTGTGTATTTGATAATTTTGATAATTTTATAATTCTATATGTATAAGATTATACACTGTACATTATATATATATAAATATATATAATATATATAATATATAATAATATACATATAGCATATATATTCATATATTATCTTTTCTTTTATATATAATATATATAATAATATATAAATATATATATATATAATAAGATATATATATATATAATACATTATATACAGTTACAGTTATTCTATACTTATATAATACTGTAAGATTATAATTCTATATATATATATATATATATATATATATATAATAAATACATATAATACAATATAGTACATACATATAGTATATATATCGTATCCATATAGTATATATATTCATATATTCTCTCTCTATATATATTGTATATATATAGAGAGAATATATGAAGATATGATAATATATATATAATAATAAGATATATATATATATATATATTTATATATATATATAATACATTATATATAGTTATAGCCATTCTATAGTTATATAATGCTGTAAGATTATAATTCTACATGTATAAGATTATACACTGTACATTATATAATACTGTAAGATTCTACATATATAATATATACAATTGTACATGTATAATCTTGATAAATTGATAATTTTGATTGTAATTCTATTGATGAGTTCTAAAAACTTGCTGTTTTTAGGGAATTGTTTGTCGATTAGTTCGCAGTTTTCCTTATTTTTGTTTTTATTGTATAGGGTGGATCGAACCAAATTATATTTGGTTTTCTCTTTTTTTCTTGTTTTCCTTTTTATATTTTAGTTTGAGTATTCGCTGTATTTTAGGATGATTCGTCTGTCCTTTTTTTTAAATTTTCATGAAATATATTTTAAGTTGCTGGAATTTGTTGAAAGTATTGTATTTATAGATACGGTTATTCGTCTGAATACAGTAGGGGATGGTTGAAATTTTTGTCAATGTATATTGCATAGTTATTTAGTTTTCTGTATGGTTTGTATGTTCACTTGTTTAAGGTTGAAGTTTATGTCTAGGAAATTTACTATTTTTGGTTAGATTTAATATTGATTGTAAAGCCTACATTTTCTTAAGGTTTTTATTATTTCATTTCGGAGTATGTCTATTGTTCTGTCGTTACAATTTCCTAGTATTAGTAGTCCATCGTCTGTTTATAAACCCGTATCTTCGTTTTTAATCACAGTTGCTAATTTATTGATTATATATATATGCTTACAAGCTCACATAAACCCATCGTCATAGCTACCCACTGATACGTCAAAGTTATTGCTTTGGGACTTTTTTATCCATAGTTTTTGTTGTCGAGATTGTTAGATTTTCTACAGTGTTTTATTATATCTATTTCATCGTTGGTTATTTAATATGCCTTATTCAATATGCTCTTTTTGATCGATGGGTAAACGTCTTTTTTTATCAAATCACGTGACAAAATTTTTTCTTTGTTGTTAATTTTATTAAACCAATTAACTGTTGTTTTTCTGTTTTCTATTGGTTTATGTTAAATATGTCCCTTGGATTTGAGAACATTTTTTCTATATAAAAAATTCAGTATAACATATTTTTGCTTATATAAATGTAGACTCTGACATCGACTGTCTGTTTCATGCTTGAACTCAATCGTCAGACATGGCATGAAGATTGCGTTCACGCATGAAACATTGTCGCCGCTCGGTGTTGTATTCAGTGTTCACGTTTATATTTATATTTACATACACTATACCACTATTGAGCACTTTTGCCCATAAATATAGCTTACCTTCAAACTATAATTCATCATATATATATATATATATATATATATATATATATATATATAACCTCAGTCGAGTTCATAGTCCACAGGACTATATCGAGTTAACTACGAACTCCATAATCTTTTGAATGGCTCTATAGTATTCACCTCGCCAGGTCTACATACCCTGTATCAGAAAGTGGGGTAGTTCTATGTTATCTAGAGAATTATCCCTCTATCGAAGTTTAAATTGAGATTTAAACATACGCTAGACAATTGGAGGAAAGCAAACCAGAACAGAGGTTTCCTAGTGCCTTCACGACAATAAAATTGCAATAGTGTCAGATTTAAAGGCTATTCTTGTTTTTAATTAGCACGCGAACCATCTTTTTAATTCAGAGATGTTCTTTTAGACTGGTTGCCAGCCGAGGGAGAGGAGCGTTCCAATTGAAGTTCAGTTCGTTATATTCACAAGCGCAAATACCCTTGCGAAAGGTATGAATCCACCTCTTCTCCCCCAGCTATGGGTTAATTTACTAATTAACTAGTATCTCTAATTCAATATCATCTCAATAAAAATTCTTACTATCGAAAATATTTTCTGGCTTTAATTGAACGAATCGAACAAAAACAATCAATCATTGGTTATAATCTAATACTTAACGGTCTTCTTTCTTGTGCCATGTCCATCAGAAAGTTGACTGTCATGGCTCTCCACAACTACCTGTCTTTTGTTATCCTAAGTAACTGGTGACTATTCAACATCCCCTTTTGTCCTTGTTTTGCTATCCAGTAATTATCATCTTCCAAAAAAATACTTACAAACTGAAAATATATTCTGGCTTTAAATAACCTGTAAAGGGTTGAGAAGCTGTAGAAAATTAATCAGTTGAATCATTTGTTTCGTGGATACTCATACCAAAATAAATAAGTAACAAATAAAATAAAATAAAAAACAGGGCGTCTACTCAAATATGGGTTTCCACAAAATATTGTTTAAAGCAGTATGAAATAATGTTGGATAAAGAATCCATTGATTCCTTATAAATTACTTATAATAACTTATAATAACTTATAATAACTTATAATAACTTATAATAATTTCCGTTTCAGATGCAAAACAGATTATGAAATGATCTGAACGATAGGATACGTAGTTTTTCAAAAAGATAATTGAACCTTTGCTTCATTCAAATTCTGTAGCCTAATAGGTAGTGTACGTAGTTTCGAACCCTGTCGGAGAGCACATTTTCTTTGTTAAGTTCAATAAACGTGGTATAGTGTCGCGGAGAAATTATTTTGATCATTGCTCATAAACGACACTCTTCCCAATTTATCTATATCCATTCGTTTGACCAAAAGGGTTTCGTCATTAGATGGCATTAGGAGCGTTTAGTTTTAAATAATCTCCTTCAAAATATCGATTGCACTATTTTGTACCAAATATAAGTGCCGTGAAGAATAAGTCATATCGGTGAGAATTTTTCCAACTATAAAATAAGCGCACTGGTTTAAACAACGTTCAGCCAGGAATTAAAAAAAAAAACAGGGCGTCTATTCAAACATTGGTATCCACAAAATAATGTTTAGAGTATTAGGAAATAATATCAGATCCATTGATTCCTTACTTTGTTTCCATTTCAGATACAAAAATAAAAATGTGCAAATATGAGATTTTGAAAAAATCTGGACTAGGGAATATGCATTTTTCCAAAAGGTAATTGACTCTTTCTAGGCTGTGACGGATTGGATCAAATACTGGTTTCCTCTACAAAGTGGGTCACAGGTCCGACCCTGCCGGTGACCACATTGTCTTTATTATCTCTGTCGAGTGCGCAATCCGGTAGACATAATTTTGTGAATTCTCACGTTTAAAAAACAAACAAACAAAAAAACAACAACAAAAAACAAACTAAAAACAGGGCCTCTGCTAAAATATTGTAAAGGTAATATTAGCGGTTTCTTTATAAGGAAACATTTGTCATTGACCAAGCAGGCTGTCCTATTGTTGGCTGAAATTTATAAAATCTTGCTCTTAAAACAATTTTTCAGAAAATAAGTTTCTCAAGTCTAGCAGTTTGCTATCTCACTTTCCATCTATTTTGTTTTGATGGCGGTTTCCTTCCTAACCTTTTGTTTGAAGTAGTGTGGAATCTCAACATTTTGATTGTGTATTTACAAAATGATTAAAATAGTATGTAATTATATGGTGTATACGAAATAAAGGACCACGAATATATTTAAATCAATCGAACTTAATTACGACAATTTTCACTAATACCATTTTACGCCATGCGCAGATCTCTTAAAAAAGAGCTTCACGGCGCAGCGGAGCAAGGAAAAAAGACTTGACCTGCGCACTGCCGGTTACTATCCTTAGGTTCTAATAAAATGAGATCATATTTTTTTTTTTAAATAGAAACTAATCAATTTGTGGAATAATTATTAATACAAAATGTTTAAATCAGATAACAAGAGAAAACGTCAAGTATTTATTTCAAGGTCATTGAATAAACGATGTTTTTCAAGTAGTTTTATTTTAATTTCTTACAATAAAATAAATGCATAGCTACGAGCCAGACAAACAAACTAATCTTTATTCAAAGCTGAGACCGAACTCGTGTTTTGAAAAATTGATTTATATCCTACGTTACATATTTATCACGGACTTAGTGTGATGGATCTGAATTTACTTCCGTAGTAAATATTTGCTCAGCTATGAAGTGTGAAATTATAATAGCGAAAAGTAAGAGAAAATGGCCGCTGTTATTTCGAGTTGGACGCAAGCGGACCTTAATTGACATGGTCCCGCCTTCCATATAAAGACCGCTGGTGCGTAAAGAAAAAAAAAAACAAAAAAATTCCTTTTTATTGAAGAAAATTGTAGTTTTATTTTGTTCTTACAATGTTGCATCTAATATTATTCAGCAAAATAAAAATAAAGGAAAGGAAAGATTGTCATCAAATATGATAAAAGTCATTTAGGGGTGAAGAGTCGTGAGATTTGAGGACAATTTTTTTATTTTTTTAATTTTTAAGAGAAGGATCCGCCCACGTTCGTACCGATTCGACATCGAACGGATCTGGGGATGCATAGAAGAAAAATGTTAGTTTTTTATTATTATTATTTCTGAGAAATAAATGCTTTGCTCTCTTTCTTTGTCTTCCCTTTTGTTCTTTTTTTTCTACCTTTTTTCTTCTTCATTTCCATTTTTGAAGTTCGCCTCCTTTTTTTCTCTTCTTATAGCTTCATATATAAGTCGATATCATTGATAGGTTTACACTTGTAGGACAAGAAATAATTAAAAATGTACTCATAAAATAAATTTTGTGGCATATAACACACACACACACAAAACAATCACTATGTTCCAGAGTCGGTGAGCATTAAACCCAGACGACACTAATTTTTCATATTATTGTTCGCCAATTACAAGGCCCAAGAGATACTCAAGGTACAAGATTAAAAAATTCTACGCTAAATGTATTCTCATTCTAATCTTAACCTCTTCAAGCCAACCGTCAACCGTTATCACTTCTCCATATCCTCATAATATATATCCATGGCTCCTTTCGTGTTGGTTCCTCTTCAGATTTTAATATTACTGATCCTTTTTGTGTATTGCGGGTGTTCCCCTTTCGTTTTGGAAGAGTTCTCCGATTTATTCATTCCATCTCTGAAGTATTTTTCTTTCTCTAATATCAATGTCTCGTCCTTGGATTTTATGCATCCCTTTTGGAAGCATGTCTTTTTTTAGTTAATTTTCTTGTTTTTTAGTTAATTTTCTTCCGAGATTCATGCATGATGCAATCGTCAGGTGCGGATTGAAAACTGATTAGTCTCATAACATATATATATATATATATATATATATATATATATATATATATATATATATATATGCGGCGATAGTCTAGGAGTAGGGTATCTGGCTGATGTCAAATCGGTCGGGTTTTTGAAGCAATCGGACGTCTAACCCCATTAAAGAGCTGGGATACAGCATAACAGTCTGTCAGTCTGTCTATGGATGACAATATATATATATATATATATATATATATATATAAAGTGGTCATTGATGTCATCATCCAGCGGCGTCAGTCTGTTTCATGTTTACACGCAATCTTCAACCACTTTATATTTACATATGCTCTATCCATGATATTTAACACTAACCCATAAATGTAATGATTTTTTTTCAATAATTTATCATCCATTGATTGGTTTGAAAAATCCTTGTAAATCTTGTTTCAATTTATAAGGTGAAAATGATCATTAACCTAATGTAATCTTAATTCCTTTTGTATAAAATATGTCAGTCTGTTTAATTAAAACATTGAGCTCTATGTGTGAATCAGTTTCAGTATTTAATATTTTATAGTGTATTAATAAGATTCACTAGGATTATATACCAACGGATTATTACACACACACACACACACACACACACGCACACACACACACACACACACACACATATATATATATATATATATATATATATATATATATATAAGTATATGATTGGTGTATACGGAATAAATTCCAATAACCAACAATTACTATTCTTAAAAGAGTGATCAATACAGAGTAGAGCGGATATAATTATTTATTTTTAAAAATTACAACATAAATATGTTATAAAATCACTACAAAAATAGCCATTTTGTTTCAACACCTCCGGTGTATTATCAAGTGATGATGTTGAATGTAAAATAAATGGTCTCATTCTTCTGACAAGGTTTTCAGTTTGCTGAGTTAAATGGAAGAAATAATCCCTTTTGTTCGTGGTGGGAATGTTCTGGGTGTATATATATATATATGTATATATATATATATATGCATGTTTCATTAAATAATATAGGCAAGTTTTGTCTATTTATTTTAAGTTCCTTTCATATTGTCTGATAAGCTTAATAACATCTTTGATAATGGCTTATGTCAGCCGAAAGCTTAGATTGGATTTAAACATATATCAAAATGATGATTTACTTTCGTATTTCAATGATAATGTTATTAAGCTTATCAAACACTATGAAAGGAACTTACTTTAAAATAAATAGACAAAACTTGTCTATATTATTTAATAAAACATGCATCAATGAAAAATTTCTGCTAAAATACACATTATATATATATATATATATATATATATATATATATATATATATATATATATATATATATATATTATAAGTATAAAATATTATCGCATTATACGAAAGCGAAAACGATGTCTGTGAATCGAATTCGAATTCTGGCTAGGCCTTTCTATCTTTGCTTAGTACGAACAGACATAGGAAGAGCATGAATCTAATCCTCCCTGGGTTCTCTTCCCTCTTGATGAAATATCACATCTATGCGCTACACCAATCGCTGAGAGAAAAGGAAGTAATAGTATATCTGAACAAAACACTTATACCATAACTAGTTTATATGCGTTAGCAGTAACAAAAAAAAAGCTGTTTACTCTATAGTCAACCTTGACATTGTCCAGTTATACACTCTAATGCACGCACACAGCATATACGATGTTAGGTATAGGCTGATTATGCATTATCTATTGTAAGTACTTGTCGCCTTCTTCGTGACCCAAGTTTTATCCATATTAACCCTTCCAGAATAAAACCTATCCATTATATTTCATTCTCACCGTTCACTATAGCGTTTCAATCTTACTATGAATGCCCGTCTCCTTTGAGGCCAAGTTATACAATTGCTATGAACTTAGAAATGGAAGAAAAGTTTTTTGAAACCACGATTTATAAAAATTATATAAGTAAAGGTCAACAACGATTATGACAGCTGTACTTATCTAAAAGTAAGACACCTTCTGTTTTTTCGGGGTGGGACGTGTGAGAAGGCTTTTTTTTTTAAACCCGATATTTTTATACACGGAACAGAGGTGTGTCTAGACTTGGGGTAATGATTTTCAACCGAACTTCATCAACTAGAGCTCGATTTTTGCTGCGGGTCCTTGCACCAGAAATAAACTAATTCCATGAAATGTCTAAGCGACTCTTCACAGAGTATTAGTAAACAAACCACTTGCAATAAGCATGATATCATTAGGTTTTTCATTCGTCCCCTACCGTGAAACTCTATATAACTTGAACTTGTGCTCAAGTAACTTTGGTCTGTTTTGTTTTATAGCATATCAATCTTTCCTGAGTATGACGATAAACCTCACCCGGCAGCAAGGACACTGGTCGGGAGATTGAAGAATTTGAGGAGCGTGGAACGACCTCCTAATTGCTGTTTTTTCCAGTTCCAACCTGACCCGTGGTGGCCACACCTCTTAGGGTCCCAGCGATAGGCAAATAGTCAACCCCTAAACAAAACACTATGACTGTATAAAAATACATATTTATAGTAAAAATACCAGCAATAGAAAGAAAAAAATGACCAACAATACATATAGTAAAATGACCAATACATTTTAAAAACAAAATGATCAACAGTACATTTTATCTGTAGTGAAGCCGTACAAATGCGTTCAAAATACATTTAATTGAATCCATAAGAATATGAGCAAACTATTGTTGTGGATTCCGGGTTGAAATCTCGTACCAATAAATAACAAACGCCAAGAAGGAATATAGGAAAATAAATGTATTAACGTAATAATCCAAACTGGTAATGCAGGTTAGTAGTTCCAGGAATGCGGGTTAGTAGCAAAATATCTATACAGTGTTTGGTATTGAAGTATCGCTGTATGACTTCTTACTGAGTCTACGTGCTCGCTCACGGTGACTCCTACAACGCTGTTACCTCACCCTCACTCTTCCGGTTACCTACAACCTTTTATTCTGTCACTCTGGACTCGACTCGACTCCTAGGGTATTCACTGGCAGTAGTATAAGTATACACTGGGTGAGTCCATTTGTATAAAAAGGGGTGGACCCCTCAACAACTATTAAAATTTGTTCATTAAATAAACAATAGATATACCGCTAAACAAAATAAACCAACTAACAATTTCAGGTTATTTAATGTCATTTTTTTACTATTCGCCTAATACAAAGCACAAAAGACATTTAGAGTAGAGGGTTATTAAATGTAGTTGCTGTCAGTGCGTAATGGGAAGGATCCAGGAGTGCATATTATGAGGATATATAGAACAGATAACGGTTAACGCTGGCTTAAAGGGGTTAAGATTATAATGAAAAGACATTTAAGGTAGAGGGTTACTAACGGTTGACGCTCAGCTTGATTGCCTAATTCAACATCGCTGGAGAAGAAGCTCTCGGAATAGAATTTCTTTCTCACCAAAGAAATCTGAAGAGAATGATGATAAGCTGCCTCAGCGTATATAGCGTGGTGGGTCCTTGCTGTGAAGGCATTAACTTGTAGAATATCCACACGATTATCTATTACGAAAATAGCGATTTTATATTCCAAAATTCGATTGAAGATGAAACTGAACTAATGCTTTTAATTTAATTATTGTTGTGGAGTATTTTCACAGTGGAGGCTTGTATTTCTAATAAGTCGTCCTAAATTAGGTCCGACGTACAAAACGTTAGGAACTTGGAAAATAAGAGTCAAGCAATCTAGTTGTGATGGTTGGTACTTCAAATGTCCGAATCTCGACTGACGCGCTCAACACCATTCGGTATTTATCATTTCACCCACGGGAAACGAATATGGCACAAGGCCGGTTTTATTGTGGGTTACTCCGAGCCCGTAGGCTCGGCCAAAAAAATAGCCTTTTGAAGCCGATTAGACGGGTTCAGGCCCTGTCCACCTCCCCGGACGAAACCTTGTCCTTCGGCAAAGCCTCGTCCGGGTTCCTCTCTGCTAACGCAGAGAGTTCGACAGGAGGCGTGCGCAGTCAGAGACCGCGAGATGCCATTCGGTATTTATCATTTCACCCACGGGAAACGAATATGGCACAAGGCCGGTTTTATTGTGGGTATCCCCGAGCTCGTAGGCTCGGCCAAAAAAATAGCCTTTTGAAGCCGATTAGACGGGTTCAGGCCCTGTCTACCTCCCCGGACGAAACCTTGCCCTTCGGCAAAGCCTCGTCTGGTTCCCTCTGCTAACGCAGAGAGTTCGACAGGAGGCGTACGCAGTCAGAGACCGCGAGACGCC